AGCGCGACCAGCTGGACAAGGAGGTGGCACACCGCTTGCAGGAGATCAAGGCGCTCAAGGAGGAGTGCCGGCGGAGGAAGAAGATGATCGCCACCCAGCAGATGATGCTGGAGGCCCGAGCCAGCTACCACCAGGTAACAGGAGAGGTTCAGGCGGCCCGGTCAGCCACAGCCCGCCACCATGGGCGGGCGGTAGAGCAGCCCCGCTCTGCCGGGGTGTGGTCACTTGCTGGAGCTGCCGGGACTGGTGACCCTGCAGAGAGGGAGTGCCTCACTTGCAGGTGCTTCCCTTCCCGTATGCGTTTGACAGGTGTTTGGCTGGTAGCACAGACACTTGAGAGAGTGCTGCATCCCCTTGAACAAGTCCTCTTTTTACTAATCGGTGCTCTTTATTCTTGGATTCGCTTTTGACACATCTGAAGTGTCAGATGCACACACCTACAAAACCTCTGAATAATGTGTTACTGCTTTCTGTTGGTGTCTTTCCTCCTCTGTCAATTACGTGGTCAGGAAACACAGGAGGTAACTACATGAGAACTGGTGATAAGCAGGAACCTAACTGCCTGTGATTTGTCATTTTCTTGTAGTAACATTGTCCAGGCACAAAGTTTCTGCTTGCATGTGACTCAGAAGTGACTCAGGCATGAGCCCCAGTGAGGGAGCTAATCCCGAACTCCACAACAATCTGTTTCTTGAGGATATTCCCTAAGAGCCTTAGTACACTGCTGTGCTGACTCTGTGTCATGGCACTCGCTTTTTTGGGGGGAGTTTTTTTTGTGTTCTGGGTGTAGTAGTTTGATTTAAGTGTTTTTCTGCTTCAGCATATTTCAGCATGTTTCAGGAATGCAGACTGCAGCTTCAAATGTGGTCCGAAGTCCAGAGAGTACACTGGACACAGGCTTGACATGATTTCAAGCTAACTCTCTCTGTCTGTATGTTTAAGGTTATAGTTTACTAGTTGTTTTTTTTTTTAATTTCTTTATTCTTGGGTTACTAGTAGACCTGATTGCTAAATTCTTCTTAAACATTAAATAGTTGCAGTGCAGAACCAATGCAGGTTTTTTTACAGTATGTACAAACATCCCACAGTATAATAGTGATTTCAGCGGGCTGGCAAGGTTTAATTTTTTTAAGATATAAGCTAAGTTACCTCAAGTGTTTCTGTAACAGGATATCTTATGCCCCAGGAGTACAGCCATACATCTGCTAGACTTCATGGGAACCTTTTCCCAGTGTATTTGAGTGTTGGTCTTAAGGACAAGCTGCTCACGTGGTGTCATTTTGAAAGGCTTGTATGCATTTCAGAGCCATTTGTCTGGCCTGTGTTGCAAAATAAAACCACTTACATGGATAATTTTCTGTGTAAACTTAAATAATTCTCATACCAGCTAAATATTGCCATGTTTTCCAGAAATATTTGTGGAATAGAACTGTCTCAGTGAAAGCTGAAGAACATGTCGGTCAACATGTCTCATTTGTAATTTTCAGTTCAGTGCCATTTAGAATAAAGCAGAATTGGAAAGCTAGTTCCCATTTTAATGTCATATAAGGATGTGCTCCCCCCTTTTTTCCTCTCTCGTAGTAAATTCTTGTCTCTAGAAGTTAATTAGGTTCATGTGGAAGAAGTGAGTTCAGGGAGCAATGTGGACCAGTTTCTGCAGTGCCTACAGTGTTTTCATGATCCTGAGTATGAATGCTAGAGAGAAATGAAACTCTTCCTAGGGTTTGTAAACTCAGGGCAGCAATGTGCTTGGTAAACAATAACTGTGTGTTACCTGTGCCGGGATCTTGGCTGATCTACAGGGCCAAGTAATAGGTGGTTTACTGGTGTTCCAAAGGGGGTAGTTCTGATTCCATCCCCTCAAAGCCTTGGCTGTTTTGGAACAAGCAGGATCTTGGCTGATCTACAGGGCCAGGTAATAGGGGGTTTACTGATGTTCCAGAGAGGGTAGTTCAGATTCCATCCCGTCAAAGCCTTGGCTGTTTTGGAACAAGCCTGTAAATATTTCTTGCCTTTTTCAGTAGAGGTATGCTTTCTATCTAGTATAATGTGCTTTGGAATTGTGATTTAGAGCCTTTATTTCATGGCTAAACCTACATTGGTTTTGGATTAATATTATAAAATGGTACTGGCACCTATATGTCATAAATTTAAGAGTTGCTGTTTAGTACCTTCCTCTGAATAATACAAATTTGATTTTAAATAATATTTTTTTAACTTCTTTGATGCTTTATTCAGAAAACTTATGCTCTCATGCACAGTGTAGACAACAAGTGCACATTGTCTAATGCTGTAAAAAAATAGTTGCAAGAGTAATGTTACATAATTCAAACCCTAAATATTCCCTGTGTTACTCCTGTCTCCTGCAGTAAGAGCTTTCTTTCTCTACCAGCAAGTCAAACTGACGTGAGGTTTGTGCTTGAATGGATAATGTTATTTCACAGCCCATTTCATTCCATAGATCAGGTGCAGTCTGTTACACTGTGAGCTCCCTTGTGGTTGGCAGCAGTGCTTTGCTACCACACTACATCTCTTTACTTTGGTTTTATGTTAGCACTTTTTTTTGCATTTGCCCAACAAAACTTGTCTTAATAATTCATGGCTCCAGTGTTTGCTGAAAGACATCTGTGTCTGATAGCTCACCTGACTCTCCCTGGCAGTATTTTAAATATTAGATGAAATCTGGGAATTTGATTACAGTGGCAAGGTCTTGATTCTGTTAAGTCAGTCTTTTACAGTCATACCCCACTGATGAGGAAAGAGGACTTCATCTGAGTATTTGTGGCTTCTTAAATCTATTTATTTGGGGGAAAAAAAAGAAAAAAAGTATAAGAAAGGTAATAAGCAACCCTACCTAAGGGAATTAGGGAGCTTTGATTCAAAGTCTTACCAGTACGTTGCAAAATGTCTAGGTGTAGCTTCTGTCCTTGCCCTACCCATCTGTTTTTAGTTTTCTGAACACCAGTGGAATGTACTTTGAAGAAAAACAAAACAAATATTTTACAATGGGCGAGATCCAAATTTGACTTAAAATATAACTTAAAATTCAAGTTCAAAAGTAATAAGTTCTAGGAACAGTAATTTAAACAGTTTTACTCTTCAAAAGGATGCTAGGTAGCATACTAAGATATGTATGTACCTCTTCTTGTAAAACTGTGTATTGTCACCTTATTTTAGCTGAAATGTCTGAACTTTTTATATAGCCATGGTTCTTCTAGTAATGTCATCCTACAACTCACTGATGTCTGCTCAAACCCATCTTTGTTGGTTGTTCTTTTTCCTGACTGTATGGAGCTGTCTTTTGTGGGGATGCAAGAGCCTTAACGGCTGAGCTGGAGTGGGTGTGTGTTTTGATAAATAGCATTGACTTGCTTTTTCCTTGTACTTCCTCTTATCTGTGGTTTGTGTCTGAATTTAAAGAGGTTGTACAGTGCTGGCACAGTGGGATTCTTGCCCATGGCCATCTCTGAGAAACATTGCATAACACAAATGTATTAATAACTTTACAGAAATTTGACATTGTGAGAATTTTAGTTGTTCTTGTGAAATGGAATTTTATTGAAGTTTTTCACGTCTGGACAAAATGTAATAACCTGAACTGCTATACGTAGCAAACCAATGTTGCTAATAATAATGACAATGTTTTTATCTGTTTTTTATAGTGTCAGCTTTGTGAAAAGGCTTTTATGAACGATTCCTTTCTACAAAGTCACATGCGAAGGCGTCATCCGGAAGAATCTCAGATAGGTATGTACTTCAGTGTTATCAAAAAAATGAAGAGAAATGGTTTAGAAAACTGTAAATACAGTCAGGATGTGCAGTCCATGCTTTCATGTAACTGGGAAGAATGGTTTTCATGTTCCATCTTTGGGTGGCACCTAACAGTTTGTGTGAATGCAAGCAACACTGGCTGACAAAATGCATGGGGCAATGTACGTTTCAGTCTCTGGAATATAATTAACAAAAGATTATATGCCATATTTACAGTAAATTTGGAAACTAGCACTTCTCCTGAATACTTCAGTCAACGGCAGAAGTCAGAGCACAGTTTCTCTTTAGGTGTGGGTAAACTGAACATGTTGCCCTAAGGAAAATAAATGTTGTGAGTGTACGTACATTATCAGTACAGAATTAATCCCAGTCACCTGACATCAGTTTGAATAGAATGAAACTCTCCTGAAATCAACTGACTGCAGAATATAATGAGAAAAAGAAATTGGCAAGAATAATCTAAATTCATGCATCCATGATAATCTTGGTTGCTACACTAGTAATTTGTATACTTTTGTCTCTCTTCACTGAAATATGTGTAGTTTGAAAAACATTGCTCTGAAAGTTTGTTTCGCTTATCTCTAAATCCTCTCCTGTCTGTTTGGCTGCATGCTCGTGATTTATTGCTAAGGACTGACAAGAATTGACAAGTGGTGGTGACTAGAAATACGTTAGGAAAGAAGGGCATTTGGGAGGAGGAGGAGTGGGAGGAATCTAGCAAGGTCTGAACTGTAGCTTGTTAGGCAAATAAAACAGCAGGACTGGTGAGAGGGGTCTGAGTAAGCACCTGAGGAAGCATTAATGTATAAATCTTCCATATACTGGAGGAAGAGAGAGTCTCTTGTGCACTTTACACTTGATAAAAATGATAATGGAAGGTGCTGCAGAACCAGTTGGACTAATTATCCTATGGAGAATTATCTGCACTGGCTGCGTGAGGGAGATACTCCATGCAGTTATTTCTGAAAGAGTATTCTGCACTGTGCTCAGATTCCTAGACCATGGACTAGTAAATCCTTGGTGAATTGTTAAAATGTTTCATGAGTAAAGATTGTTAGAGGTTTTGGATAGTTTAACGTGTTCTTTTACAGCGACATTCCTTCTGACTCATTCCAGTTGATCAATGAGTCCAAATAGACTCCGTAGAAAAATTATTTAGAATAAATTAAACTTGCATACATGCTGTTTTGAGCCTCTGTTGCTTGTATTCCTTTACAATCAGATAATATAATACTTGTAGATCAACTATTTCATGTGTGAGTAATGGTGGTATTTTTCAGTCTTTGAGCATGCGAAGAGAACATATGTATTTAAAGGCATGTTTGGAGAATCATGGTAGTGGGAGGGGAAGTTGTCTGTTGGAGTTGCACTTCATGAAGATGTTCTTGAAAAGCTACAGAAACACATTTGCAGTATCATGTTTTCAGAAATAACAACACTCTTAAAATCCATTTTTCTTTCAAACAGAGCAGAAGAGGAAAGCAAAGGCAGACAAATTGCAGGAGGAGGTTGATAAGCTGAAGGAGCAGTTGCAGCTCACGAGGTCCCAGTTAGAGGCTGAACAACAGGCTAATGTGGTCAGGTTTTCTAAGGTAATATATACTAAAGAATATAAACCTCTCGAAAGAACCACAGAATCATTCTGGTTGGAAGAGACCTTCAAGTTCAACCCAGTGCTGCCAGGCCACGGCTAAACCATGTCCCTAAGCACTCCATCTGCATGTCTTTTATATACCTCCAGGGATTGTGACTCCACTGCTTGCAGGGCAGCCTGTTCCAGTGCTTTCTAACCCTTTGTGTGAAGAAATTTCTGTGAAGAATTAGTGCTTTGAACTGTGCTCAATCATTTTGTAACTGGAACAGAACAAAAATGTATTTACAGATTGCATGCCTGGCAGCATTGGTGCTTGGGCATTAGACCTTGTCTCCCTCTTTCCACCCCATAATTTTGAACATCTGCTTTCTCCTTACTGAAGTTTTAGACATATTTTAAATGAATACTTAAGAGAACATTTCTGTTAGGACTTGTCAGTTCATGAGTGTGGCCTGTTACTGAAGCAGATGAAATTGCCTTGCTGTGGTGAAGTAGAAGCTATTTTTAATATTGGACTATTTTGTGCTAATTAGACATTTCTTATACATGCCTGTGATTTTCCTATGTGACTTTATGAACTGAGTAATATTTATTCTTTGCTGTGATGAACTTTACTGTCTAATAGAGGTGTAACGCAGAGAAAGAAGAGAGACCGAAAAGAAACAAAGCAATCTAGAGCTTGCATGCTGGTCTTTAAATGCTTAGAATTTGGTTTATCAGAGAGCCAAAGCAAAAAATAATCTCGGCTACTGCTGTGTGAATAAAACAAAGCTTAAACCTGAATGATTTCAAAGCAGTAGTTATCTGTAATCACATGCAAGGCTTTATTTAGGGTGATATTGAGACATGTGGTAGTGGTTACTAGCTCATAAAGAGGAAAAGAAAGCCTCTAAGTTACCTGTTTCTGTTTTTTTTTTTTTTTAAAAAGCTTGATTATTTCAGATCATATCCCAGTGTTCACTTCTGTTGAAGTAAATAGAATAGGATGATTTAGGTATTGAAATAGTGATGGAAATTTTTGAAGGGGAAGGGTTTTGTGATACACTAAGGAGCAAGTTGTTGGCATAAGAGACAAGATAATTAAAATGATTTGTTTAAATGATGATCGTGGTTTTGTGGCTGTTAACATAACCTGTGAGAACCTTGTCTTAATATATCACCACATATTCTAAACTTCTTAGTGGAGTTTGAGGACCTTCAAATATAGTTTGGAAAGAAACACTGCATTTTTAATTTAAAGGGAATCAAGAAAACATCACTATCACTATTAATTGTTTTCTTCCTTGTTTTCAGAGGACAAGCAATTCTTCTGTAAAAAATGCAGTGTTTCTTTTCCTGAACACAGCTTCAGACTCTCCTGTCCTCTGTCCTGATGTTGCCTTTCTCCTGTGACCATGCAGCTTCCTGGATTTCTTTCCATTTTCAAAAGTAACTGGATGAGCAAATGAAGAGTGTAGGTAGAGTTTCACCTGGGAGAGCAAGCAGGGTCAGAATAATGAGCCTTGGCCCTGTGTGGACATCTGCTAGGTATTCTATTCATTCTTTCTGTGCCTCAGTTTTGAGAGTTACATCTATAACATGTTCCTCTTGCCCCTGAAGCACTGGTTTTCTTATGAGACAGAACTTGAAGTATTCCTAACAGTGCAGTGTAGATTTTTTTTTGTGCCTTAGGGGCCTATTTTGAAGTCACTCATCTTAGCCGAGACACCTAAATACAAGGGGATAGCCTAAAATGTCCTGAAGCTACAGCCTGCAGTGTTACACAACAAGAAGCTTTCAAAACTTCTGTCTTCTTCTGGGATGTCAGGGAAGAGAGCAGTGTGAAGTGTGACTGGTTGCAGTTTGTCTGCCATACCTGATACCCACTGTTAATTCAGGTGTCATTATGTTGTTGTTTTTTTATTGAAAGAGCAGGAGATGTTTTTAGGAGAACAGGTGGGGTTTTTAGGACAACCTGTGGTTTTTTTTTAGGAGAACTGCTACTGGAGGGAATTCGCATAAAAACTGTCATCCTTCCAATTCTTGGTCCCTTCTACTCCTTTGAGGTGAAAGGATACAGAAGATCCTGTTCTCCTATGATGATTGCTTGTTACAGCTAGAGAATAAATTCAGGGTGAATGCTGTGACAGAAAGATGTGAGGGTTGCCTAAAAAAGTGTGTATATTCTGGATGGTGAAATGCAGGACTTTGAACAAGTTAGGACTATACACAAATGAGTGACTAGCCAAGTATTATAAATTGTTTTGAGAAGTCAGTGCGTGAGCCAGAGCCTAATTACCGTGCCTAGGTCTGGTCCCTTCATCTCCAAAAGGATATGATGGAATTGTAGAAGTTATGGAAGTGGGCTGCAAGGCTGATTGGTCTGTATTTAGAATGGCTGAGCATTCCAAGAGTTGTCAGTCTCAAAAAGAGACAACAGCTTGGTGGGGATGGAGGGTGAGATGCTGATGTCTGCCAAGTCACGAGTTACATGGAAGGAGTTAAGTATTAATCATTCCCTTTCTTTTCTAGTTCAGGACTTAGCAGCCACCAAATGAACCTAGCAGGAGCCAGATGCAGACAAAAAAAAAAAAAAGTACTTGGCTCTTCCTGCAACTTGTAGTAGACCTGTGGAGCTCCTTGGCAAAAGACAACTGTAGCTGCTAAAAGCTGATGCAGCCGCAAGGGACTATGGCAAAAGTATGTGAGGAGAAATGTATCAAAGGTTACTAAGTTTAGAAAACTGCATGGAGCTGAGGAGGTTGAACTGAAAAGAGACAACAGCTTGGAGACTACTGAGGAGAGCCTGCATGCTTGCTTGCCCTGATATTGTCCTTTCCCACTCATGAACAATTTGAGGAACAGGACGTTGAACTAGGGACATCTTTGGTACGACCAAGTAAGGTCATTCATGTGTTATTCAATGAAAAATAATGAACTACCAAAACTTCATGAAGCGTGCTTGTTTTGCTAGCAAAACGTGTAGTTTGCTACCCCAGAATTCTTCAGAAATTGGTATTTTTTTTATGTTTTTTGGATGTCACAATGTTACCTACTGAAAGTGACTGGTTCCCACACGTAGGTCAGGTGCTTGAATCACTCAAATTGCATGTGGGGAAAAATAACAAATAGAGTTTTTAAAATAATTCCAGGAATGTGAACAGCAAAAATCAAAAGAAGAAGAAATTCTACGATCATTTCATAAATGGAAAGAGGAGGAAGAATATAAGTTGGCTGATGAAATAGAAAAAGTCAAAGATATGTTTATGAAAGAGCTTAAGGAGTTATATTCAAGAAATGCAACATTAGAAAATGTAAGTGATTTAAATTTTCCAGCATTTGAAGGCATGAATCTCCTAACAGTAAATGTTGGTGAACTGCACATATTTGAATTGTGGCGTAGCCATCTTAAAGGTCTTTATGCAAAACTTGAAATAAATAATGGCTGAATGATAGCCATAATTGTGTACTTGTATGTTGATACTTATTAATATAATTTCAGCTCTATTTTTAATAGCATTGTTTTGG